AATTAATTATTATATAATATTTGCATTCATTCCCACAAATTTATATAACAAATTAATATCTAACTAAATTCATTAATTTTCTCAAATTCATAACTAGATCCAATTTTGATTTTGATTCTCCTTTTTTGTTTTGTCTCTAAGCTTTTTCAAATTGAAATTTTGTTTATTTTCTTTATTTTCAAGTTTTTTTTTAAAAGCTTTTTTGAGTTTTTATTTTTAAAAAGAAACAAGAAACAAAAGTAAACGGGTCAAAATTCAGAAAAAAAAACATTTAATAAGCATTCAAACTCATATAGTTTTATTGCAATCAATTATGCACTCAAACATCTATTTTCATCAATTGAGCTCTTATTAGACTAAAATTGACTAACTATCAACAACTATTTTTATTTAATCAAAGAACTCAATTGGAGTGAAAATATATGTTTAAAGTTTTAAATGGGTGAAAATAAATGTTTAAGGATTCAATTGATCAAAAATGAGAAATTAAGGACTTAATTGATTGCATTAAAAAGTCAATGGCTTAAATGATTATTGAACTAGGAAGAATGCACGTGCTTCGCTACAGGTGTATTATTTATTTACTTGTGTATGCATTAGTACAAAAAAATACATTATATTAAAGATTTTAGTAGTCAATTATGTTAAAAATTTCATAGCAAAAAATTTAAAATGTTTTGTTTGCTTTAGCTTTAATATACTTGGTTTTTAATTAGACTAATAACCTTAAAAGGAAAACACATAGGTTTATAAAACTACAAATATCAAAATGGTCATGCAAAGTCTATATAGAAAATGTTGTTCACTGCTCGTCAAAGCTTCTTTCATTTCTTTATTTGTGCTTGCAACCATAACTTCATTCTTTTTTATATACTTTGCCCTACATATAACAATTAATAGATAAATGTTAATAGCATCTATATTGTTCTCTAGAGTTAATGAAGTTGTGATTTTATTTTCTTTTGTTTTTGGAATATAAAGATCTTGTTGTGCATTTTTTTGGCATCACTTGATAAGTTCTTTTTTTTTTTTTATAGTGAGAGATAAAGTAGTAGGCTTGTAACTTTTTCTATTGAAGTTTTACTTATTTTTGGATGAATGCCATGTCTTTTAGCCATTCTAGTCTTTTTTTTTTTTTTGGTTCGGAGTCAAATACTCTTATAAAATAGCATATTGTTTATAATTTTTTGTGATGTTAGATCAATATGAAAGATCTATTTTTTGTTTATTAACTCCTTGATAGGTGTAGGTTAATGGAATGAAAAATGGATCTTACATAAGCATTGGTGTTATTTCTCCAATGTTTTAGGCAACATAATGTCCCAACATAAGTAGACAATGATTTCAAACGTTGATTGCATGAAGCATAAAACCATCAAGTAAATGGATTAATGTTAATTATTGTCGCTTGACAGGAGAATCTTACATCTTAAGGTGTCTTAGAAAGGAATTCCATTAGAAATTATAAATTTAGTTAAAGAAAATTTTATTTCCAACATTTGAAAGATTTCACATGAATCATTTTTTGAATAAAAAAAAGATTTGCAATTATTATTGTTTTTCGTTATTGCAATTGTACTGTAGAATGTTGAGAAATGTATAGAGCAGGTAAAATGTCAATAGCGATAGAGTTATTGTCATGCCTATAAATATTAATTTTCAAAGTGAGATTGATACTATATTTTCTTAGTGTCAATAAATAAAGTATCATATTTTTTAAAACATATAATTTGTTACCTTTATTTCAGTTATCTTATTTCATGTATGTCTAAATTGATATTGCTTTTGTTGTAGAACATGATGAAATGTACAAGTCAACAGTAGGGCATATACCTTGCATTATTAATAAATATTTGTTATTTAATTCATTAGGAAGACATTAATCAAATTCATTGGAAACATAAAAAGGAACAAACATAAAACAAATCGGGAAAGCGTGAATTAGATTCATTGATAACACTATTACTTTGATTTTCTTAGTGCAAACAAAATATGAAACATGTCCTTGGTTGTTTTATGTTATTGAGTCTTCTAAGCCTATTAAGAGTATATAGACTAAACTTGTGTATAATGATAGGTACATCATATAGAAATATTTATTAGAATTCAATCTAATGCTCCTACTAATTTTGTTTTGTTTTGGTTTGTTCTCATGAGTAATCTTTTAATGGTTTAAGATGTTGATAAATTCACACATAGTTAAGGTATGGTACAAAATTAAATGAACACTAAATTTAATATAGAAACAACAAAGTTTTTTGTGAAACAGATTTTAAAAAAAATTATATCAAAATAAAGCAATTACAATCATTCTATACTAAGGTAAAGTAAACTACTTAAAATCTTTTTGTTTATGCAAAAGAAAATTAATTGTTTGTTTACCTAAAATGGCTTGAGAAGTGAGACCGTTTTAGATGTTAACCATGCATAAAAGATTTTCACATATTAATGGTTAATGAAACTTGAAACATCAGCTAAAAATAAAGTCTGACAGATATATTACATCAAGATTCATTAAAGCATACATAGAGACATATAAGTAGAAGATTAAAAAAAGTTGGAAAGGTGAAAAATATGTACAAATCTGTAAGTAACATGTTAAATGCTTAACAATTATTGTATAATTTTTTTTATTTTGATTTTTTAAAAGCAACATGTTTAACATATGTTTTTTATAAATGGTTTAATGTATAACATCACAACTAAAAAAGCAAGATCTGACAATGGAAGTATTTTAAAATTTCATTAGATACATATAAATTTAGAGATTTAAAGAAACACATGGTAACATAGCAACAACATAAGAAGAATATAACATAAGACAACCTTTATAACTAGTTAAAAGTAGACTTGTACAATAAATCAAAAAAGATTAGTTGAATAACATCACAAATAACTTATAAAATATGATATGAAACTATAAAAATTTAGAGCAAGAGCTATACTGGGGGAAAAAAAGAAAGATTGTTGGAGAAAGTGATGAAAAGTTTGTAAACTTAACTTTTCAATGACATAAATGTGAAATGTGATAAACAAATAGTTATAAAAATGTAATAAATTCCACTCTTAAATAATGAATATGGACAAAAAATGAAAAGTATTTACTAGTTAAGTAAAAATTAAGTGAAAATGTAATTATTCATTTTCAAAGCTACACATATTAAATTAATTATGCTTGAAAAAACTCACCAGTATTATCTGGAATTATACCTGACAATTTAAAATACGATATAGTAATATGATACAAATACGATATGAAAGAAAAGGATATGAAGGTGATATGGTTTAAAATTTTAGCAATAGTTATATATTGGTTTAATAAAACCAAAAAATATATTTATATTTTCGTGTTGATACAAATTATGACACTTTATTTTCGTGTAAAACACAATACAAGTGCACGAATTTTAATATTTTACACATATAGATATATGAATCGTCAAGTTTATCTGAAATTATTAGAAATAACAACTAACCTGTAATCCGTGAAACTTTAATATTTCAAACATAAACAATCTTTTAAAAGAATTATCGATAAAAATAAACATTCTACTTGAGAAAATAAAACAATTTCGCTTGAAAACTATAATGTCATTTACTAAATTTGTACTGAGCTATAACATTTAAACTATTAAGAGAAATGAAAAAGAATCAGAAACTTTATAATCAAAAGGCTTAAATTCCTACTAGATACTAAGTTATTAGAATAAAGATTTTAACCCTCATAACTATAGATATCATCGATAAATTTGAATGGGTACAATCAATTATTCTTAGCATAGAATTTTTTACTTCAAAATGACAAAAAAAAAGTCTTGATTTTATTAGATAAATACTAGGCATAAGAAGATTGAGGCTTATAACAAAGAAATCCCCTTCAAAATGAAATAAGTATAAAGAGGGAATAGGTTTTTGTTTTGATTTTTGAATAAAAATGCCAACAAAATGCTTTAATTTCATAAATGCAGAATTCGATTTTATTTGCCCTAATTGTAATATCGAAGCCCAAGATAGTTAGACCATATTTGACTAAAGAAAAATTAAGGACATGTGACACAAAATTAAAACTTGTATTCCCAAATGACTAACTATCCTCATAGACCTGAATTTAATAGTATGATATAAATTTTTGTTTGAGAGTTTTTTTAACCTTTTTATCAAAAAAAATAAAGAAAAATAAAAAGTAAAACAAAAAAAGGACATGTGAAATCTTATTAGGTTTATGACCTAATTTACAATTCAAGGATCCAAAAGCAGATCCACGGCCAAATTAAAAAATCTCAAGATCCAATTAACAATTCAAAACCCAATAGTAAATTTCAAATCTCAAAAGTTGAATTTTAAAAATGAGTTAATTTAGATAAATTCAAGAACTAAGTTTAGTTTGAACTCGACTTGACACTTTTAAATTAAATCCAACAAAGTAATTGAATTCAGTTTAATCAAAATTTGTTTGAAATTTTTTTTTAAAAGACTGAAATAAAATATCTATCTTAATAATAAAGAAAAAATTGAAAAGAAAATTTAAAATTGTTAAATTTTAATAAATTAATAATTTATGTTATATAGTATTTTTAATTTATTAATATTTTTAGAAAATAAAATTGTTCTCCATTTAATCTTAAAATATTTTAGACAAAATATTTTGAATCTTTTCTATTTGAATTAATTTGAGTTAAAATCATTTCAGATTCAATTTAATTTAAAATCAAATCAATTTAAATACGAATCAATTTAAATTTAAATTAATTTAAATTTGAATCGAATGAGTTTGAATTATTATATTTTTATAAGAACAAATCGAATTTAGGCCGAAAGGATTAAGTGTTTCAGGTTAGCTTTGCTGTATAATTTTTTAATATTTAATACATTATTAACATAAATTTTAATTTCACAACCAAAATTAAAAAATTTACAAATATCTCATTTATTTTTTTAATTAATTTTTATTTTAAAATATAACATCTGTCACCCTACCATTTGGAGTCTAAACATTCCATCATCAGCAAACGCGCGCACGCGCGCCAATTGTTGTAATTCTGGTTTTCCCTTTTTCTTTTGAAGTATTAACAGTTTTTTTCTCTGTTACTCCCTTGATCCTTCAAATTCTCTCTCGCTGTCCCAACCATCATTCCAGTTTTTCTTTACAATTTTTTAAAGGTAATCTTATTTTTCAATCTCTCGCTCTCTTTCATTATCTTTAAATATTATTATTTCCTGTATAAAATAAATTCTATAAATCTGTATGACCAAGCAAAGGATCCTTTTTTTTAATTAATGTTTTTATTGTGGTAAAAATTAAGGATCTTGTTAGATTCAATCTTTTTATCTCGTTAAATTTTCCAAATCAATATTTATGATTTTGATGCCAGGTTTAGATTCGTTGAATGATGTGAACAAGGAAAAAGTGAGAGAGAGCTGGGTGTGTGAGATTGAATCGTAAAAAAATTGGTGTTATTTGAAAGAATTTATTTGAAGAGAGCGGAATAGGTAAATTGGTTAGAAAATGGAGCCGTCGTCATCGGCGAATCAAACGGAGTTCGATTACTTGTTCAAGTTGCTGATGATAGGAGATTCAGGAGTTGGGAAGAGTAGTCTTCTTTTAAGTTTTACTTCAGATACCTTTGAGGAACTCTCCCCCACTATTGGTCAGTATTCATTCCAGCTATTCTTTATTTTCTTTTTTTTTTTAATTTAAATTCTTTTATGTCTCATAACTTATATTGGCATTGGCTTGATCCGTAAGATATATAGGTTTGGTTTGGTTTGGTTTGGTTTGGTTGGTTGATACTTTTGTTATTTGTTTCTCCGTTTTCGAGCAAAAGGAGGATTAGCAAACAACATTTTTGAAGAAAAATTCAAAACTTATATTTTTTTTCTAAATGTCGGGTTTTACTTTTGGATGGTACAAATGTGCGAGAATTGGATGCTTTTGTTACTTTCCACCTTTTGTTTTTTATAGAAGTAAGAACAACAGCCAAATGCTACCTTATTTTAATCATGCAAAATTATCAAAATGGTTAAGACCAGTCTAGGGTTTCCAAACTCAAATGTTGGATGTTCTGTCCAAAATTCTGAACCTAAATTATTTGTTTTGTAGCTTTATCAGCAATGTGGTTTACATTTTTTTTCTTTTTTGCTTTTTTGTTCTTTGGATTTTGTACATAAAAGACAAGGAAATACAAAGAGTAAAAAGTAAGGGGAATAAAACTTTTCTTTTATCCGAAATCAAGTATGTACTGGTGTGTCTTAAAATATGTTCTGTGGTTTCTGATTTACAGCTCTACTTGTTTAATTGTGTAGGTGTTGATTTTAAGGTGAAATATGTAAATGCTGGGGGTAAGAAGCTGAAGCTTGCAATTTGGGATACAGGTAAAACCTTAAGTTTGCTATTGTGTTATTTCTCTTCTTTTATTTTTTTTTAAAATTTATTTTAAGTATTCATATATGATGGAAGTGGGTTTTTGATTGATGTTTGGACTACTTTGCTTGCTTTCTTTCCCTGGTAATTTATCAACTGTAACTTTATCAATTTTTTTGTTGAGCTTCTCTGAAATGTCGTTTCATTTTATTGCACAAACCACATCTCAGCTGAACGTATTTGGTGAGAGCAAAGGTTTTTCTTAGAAGAATTGGGTAGGACAATGATGGGTAGAAGTGCTACTAGAGAGTCACATGGGTTTTCTCATTCTCCTTCTGACAAGCAGCTTATTCAGAGCAAATATTAACCTGAGATTAGTTGCCCTTTAGAGTTTAAGTTTACTAAGGCTCTATTTGGTTGATGCTTTTGCTATTTGCTTTTTGTTTTCTATTCATTTTTTGAAAAAAAAAAAAAAAGAAAAAAGCAAATAGCAAAAGCAACAACAAAATGAAGCCTAAGGGAATTTGGTATGATACGTACATTAACATTTATTTTATGCTTTCACGCACACAATTGATATGCTTTTCTAGTTTTTTTCAAAGTGATGGTTGAGAAGCAAAAAGGCATTGTATGCCTTCATATTGGGCTTAGTCATGATGAAATCTTAAGAACCAACTTAGTCTTACTGTATGCTGGGTTATACAGTTGCATTTATGTAGCTGAGCTGTGTGGTTGCTTTAAAAATGACATTGTCAATGCTCTGGAGGATTTTGTGTCAATGCACTTTTATGGAAAAATATTTTTCTACCGTGGAACAACCTGGTTGGTTCCTAAATTTTTTCCCCCATATAATCATTGAATTGAGATGCAAGCATGTCCTTAGTGGAAGTATTTGTGAAAGAAGCAAGTAATGTTGTAATTGTTGTATCATTCTCTACGTCATCTAGTTTGGCCAGACATGCTTGTTAGATTACTCAATTTGGCCTTTAGGGCTTGATCTTGTTGCTATGAGAATCTTTGTTGATCTCATTATATGTGTTGTGATGTAAATGAGTTTTGCATGACCAGAAATTTGCTATTTTTTATTTGCTCATGACTTCCTTCATGTAAGGTGGAAGTTTTTCTTTCGTTGAATCTGACTTACCCATGCTGAATGTATATGCAGCTGGGCAGGAAAGGTTCAGAACATTGACAAGTTCTTACTACCGAGGTGCACAAGGGGTCATTATGGGTAATTATTTTCCCTCTTTTACATATCTAAAATGTCCCCTCTCACAGATACTATGTCCTTGATTCTTTATTCTCTTCGGAAAATTACTGCTTTAAATTCTCGTTAGAGTATATCTTTTTGTAAAACTGTGGAAGTTAGGTAAGAACTGTTTTGCCTCTAATTATGTCTAATGTATATTTCTTTCATTTTTAGCCTTATTCCACCCTCCCCCCTCCTGGGCATGCCCCCCCGACAAGCGTGTATTTATTGGTCTTCCTCTGTATGTGCTATATAAGGATTACTGAATGGAGATAGCAAGAACTGACATGAAACCATGAAACTGTTTAGTGGGTGTTTACGGCAACTTAAAATGCACTTTTCTCTCTTTTGTTCTTGTTTACTTTTTTGCTCTAGCTGTTATGTTTAAATAATGCATTGACCTGGTTTAAGTGATTGGCTGATTTCTTCTTCCTTTTATCTCTGCAAATTCTTGACCTTTTGCTAAAGCTTTTCCCCATAGTCAGATTAACATCCAGGCACGATTAATCAGATGCTCTACAATAATAAGCTCGTTAAGTGTGCAGCAATCTGTTGTTTAGCAGTTACATTATTAATAAATTTTATGACAGTATGGATTTCCACTCCTAATTTGTTTGGAGAATCACAGTATGAGATTCCCTCCAATGTAACAGTTTATGATGTAACACGGAGGGATACATTTACAAATCTTTCTGAAGTCTGGGCCAAGGAAATCGAACTCTACTCAACAAATCAAGACTGCATCAAGATGCTTGTTGGAAACAAAGTTGACAAGGTAACTTTACTGATATCTGTGAATACTAATGTTCCATTCTGCATTATAATGTTTAGTCCAGATTCCAAGTGAGCTCCGATTATAACATTTTGTTTTGTGTTTTGACTCTCTCCTTAGCTGTTCTCTCCCTTGACCATTCTGAGCTTTGTCATTCCTAATTCACAGTTGTTGTTCTTGTCTTTAACACCAATGGAAAATCAAATTAAGCAATTTTGTTGCCTATTTGAGGCTTGGTGAAGGATGGGACTTGTCTATGCTGTTATAGTTTATCAATAGACATACATTTAGTGTAAAAACTGAACTTCATAAAAGCACAATGTTCAACCACCTAGTTAATGATATATTGAAAAGTAAATGTTGTGATAATTTTCATGTTTATGAGCTACTTTTGACAATAGATGTGTCTATGTTTGTTTAACAAAAAGATAACATTTGTAGGGAAACAGATTTGGAAAAGCAAAATACACACAACAGAAACATACACATCTATTTGTATATCTGGCATTATATGTATAATTGCTATATGTAAAACTATTTTATCAGACTTAATATAGTAGAATAGGTTATTTCATCCTCTGTGGGTTTGGTTAAGCAATTAATATTTTTTGCCACTTTGGTGAATTTTTATTTTCAGATTTGACCACAATAATAAGGCAGAAAAAGGGGTTTTGCTTTTTTGGTCCCTAAAATTTGCAACTGATATACTCTATTTGCTTCTTCAAGAGCTTGCATCATTTTACTTATTTATGACTGAATCTAGATTTTCTATTTTCTTTGCATTGATGCTTTTTTATCTTTACAACAACAACAAACTAAGCCTTATATTCCATAACTCTGACGTCAGCTTTATGAAAGGACAAAAAAGGGAATTATGTTAGGTCGTAATTTCGAATTTTTTGCACCACTCATTTCTATTAACAACCTTTTCATCTACTTCCTTATCCATCATATCATTTTTTATTACTTGCATCTAGTGGTCTACCTCTAGAAGCTTTGGTCTCTTCTAAATATAGAAACTCATTTCTCCTAATTGGTGCACAGATAGGCCTTCATTTCACATATCCAAACCATCTCAAACAGCCTTCTCTCATCTTTTTCTTAATTTGGACTACCTCTAATTTTTCTCAAATATCTTCATTTCTGATTTTGTCTTTTTTAGTCTTACCACACCATCCATCTAAGCATTTTCATCTCAGCTTCGTTCATTTTCTTCTCATGTTGTTTCTTAATAGCCCAACACTCAGTTCTATATAGTAATGCAGGCTTTACGGATGTTTTATACAACTTCGCCTTTAACTTTAAAGGTATGTTGTGATCACACAACACATTCGACATACTTTGCCACTTCACTCATCCTGGGTGAATCCTATTGATGCTTTTTTATCTTTAAAAAGTAATAATCATTTACTTGATGCTTTTAAACTTTTCCAAGCTTTTTGCTATTAGAATATGTTTCCTATAGTTGGGTTCAAGTGTTGGACATTACTATATGTCTGACATGGTCTGTTCAATTTTTCTTATATCTGGAGCACCATATGCCCATATCTTCGTTTCCATATCCAATATAAGTTTTTAATGTGTGTGGGCATGTTAGGAAAAAAATGAAGAGTTCAAGTCGGTGTATGATGAAGCTGACCCCGTTTTTCTCTTCCCTCTTGCCCTGGAATACTTCAATGTTTAGAATGTATACATGAAACAAATCACATGGTTAGATCACATATCAATGGTGACACCTTATTATTCATATGAAGGACACCATCTAATATTATTATCACTGTATTCTATATGATGCAGGACAAGAACATTCTTATATAGAGATTTGTTTTATTAAGTCTATATATTTTTATGGTTTCAATTTTTTTTCTTTAGTATTTGGGGAACTATCATATTTGGTATTCGTATTTGTTTAACATCTACAGTTTACCTTATAAGCACTTGTATTATTTCAGTTTTTAAGTAATTTGTTATCTTGAATTCTTAAGATTTGAGCCATTGTTAATGGTTTCTCTTTACTTGCTCTTTCCCCTCTATTTACACTTTCCCTTTTCTTTCTGATTGATTTTCCATTGTCTCTCTTTTATCTTCATTCCCTTTGTTATGCGCCAAGCATCACTATCATTTTCCTTGGTTATCTGTATCATCAAATGCTTTTCAGGAAAGTGAGAGGGTTGTGACAAAGAAAGAGGGAGTAAACTTTGCAAGAGAATATGGTTGCCTTTTCCTTGAATGCAGTGCTAAAACCCGTGTTAATGTACAGCAGTGCTTTGAAGAGCTTGTTCTAAAGGTACTGAAATCAACTACTATTTTGTTTAGCATTTATGCCTTTCTCCATGATGTCATGTTTGGGGAAATAAATTTCTGTCTGCATATAGGCTATAAGTGCAATTGTATCAAGATAGTTTAAGCATATATTTTAGGGTTGTTCGACTCTTCTTATTCCTATTATATTATTTGAATTGTTTTTTTCGCTGAGTAATGAGTGATGGCATGAGCCCTACGTTGATAATGAGACGACTGACATTCTTATGCAGATTCTAGACACTCCTAGCCTATTAGCTGAGGGCTCCAAAGGTGTCAAAAAGAACATCTTTAAACAGAAGCCACCGCAACCAGATGCAACTACAAGCAGTTGTTGCTGATATATTGATTCTTTAAACTCCCAACTCTCTAACCAGAGTGTCCTGTTCCCAGTTCTGACAGAACTATTTACGTTTGATTTCTCTTTGATATTGATATGAAACATAACTTCCATGCAATGTAGCATTGTTGCGAATCATGTTTATTTTTTCAGGTCGTATTGCATAGAATTCTGCCTTGTCTGATCATTGCTAACTTGGAATAATTTGAATGTAACTTGTGATGCAATTTAAAGAGATAGATATAGTGTTATTTGGTTGAGGATAGGTAGCTTTTCAGTTTTTTTTTTCTTTAAGTAGAAATGCAAGCCTCCAACGATCTTCAATGACGATAGTCAATAGATGTGATTCAGTATGTTAGATGGTCCTATTTTACCATTTGCATAAGTAGGAATTAGTCAATTGGAAGTGATCAAAAATCAAAATGGCTGTAGTTGTGTTGGTGCCAATTCGGTATGGATTATATAACCGTGAAATCATACGGTTAGAGGTAGATTAGAAGTAAAGGCCAAAGTTGTTTTCCTAATAGAAAAACAGAGAGAGAATCAGCCGTCAATACTTAAAATGAGAAGGGGTATTTATATATGTGGATTGATATGGCTCAGTTAGAAAAACCTTAGGGAGTCGCCCACATGGTATGATCCAAGCTGATGTGGCACATTAACTTCAATGCCTAGATGATACGTTGGTTCAGTCACGCATTTGTTTGGTGAATTGCTGTGCTGATAAGTATAGGGATCACATCAGCTTAGTTCAAATGATTAGAATATTCTTATCATTTCGTTGAGCACTATCTACAATAAAAGAACGATTTTACTTTTGAAGACCACAAAGTGTTAAGAATGTCTCTATCAAGTTGCATAATTAGTTTTGGGTGTGTTTTTTAATAATATGACAAATAAATTTTATTTGAATTCAAAACCAATAAATGAAGAGAATAAGATTGGAATATTAAATTTGCATAATTTCGTTCCAACTTATTATTCTCTCAGTGTCTTTGCCGAGCATATTATTTGTTATAGGCTCATTTTCAGAGATTGATAAATCACAATTTTACATGGATATCATCAAATCAAGCAATTTATCAAAGAATTTTGTTTGTGGCTCTAATTTAATATTAAAAATAATAAGAATAAAAAAGGAATACAACAGAAACTCCAACCGCCCAAATTTGGACATGAAAAGAGGATGAGAGCAGGGGAAGCAATGGGTGCATGCAAAGCACCATTTTCCCATCTCCTTTCTTCACCAAATCCCAACACTAAAACCGTCAAAACCCCATTTTTAAACCCTGAAACCACCAGCAGGCGCCTCCTTCTCTTCTCCTTCCCTCTTTCCACTCTTCCCACTCTTATCCTTCCCAGCAGTAGCCCTTGCAGCAGCAGTTATGCCCTTGGCAGTAGTAAATTAGTTCAGCCCAGCTTCATGGGTGCTTTAGCTGCGAGTTTTGACCCGGTGAGCCAGGCTGAGAGAGACGCCAGCACCCTTATTACTCGGAGAGTATCTGAAGCTGTGGAGTTGTTGGAGAGAGGGAAGGAGTTGCAGGCTCAGGGTGACTTTCCCAAAGCTCTTCAATTCTTTACTTTGGTACATTAATCCCCCACTCTTTAAAACCAATTACTGTATACAATACTAATTTGGTTTCATTTTATTGGGATTGGTTTCATGATTTTAGCTGCATTTGGTATAATTGCAATATCTTGTGACAGATTTTGACTCTACGTGTTTTCTATACACTTCCAATATTTTTCTTTCTTGGTAATGATTTTCTTGAGCTTTTATGTTCCAATTCAATGAATAATAAATCATTTATATCCTTAACAATTACCATCATGATTCTTGATAGACCTAACAATTCAAAACATAGCAGCAAAATAATAGACAAAAAAGACATAAAAGTGATACAGTTTAATTTTGACAAATACTGTATATGGGACAAAAAAACCAAATATAAAAGTTTAACAAAAACAACAAAAAAATATATTTTATGTTATCCATATCAATACAAATTGTATCACGTAATTTTCGTATAAAATATGATATAAATACATAAATTGTCAATGTTTTATAGGACACGTATACACGAATTGCTATTATCTAATTCTTGATTTATTTTGTTTATTTGAAATAAAATTTTAGTTGGCTTATGCTCTCATCTATCTCATCATGTTTTTGCACCTTTAGAAATCAGGTCATTCAACTTGTAGTTATAGACCATAGATATCAGTATTAAGCTTCTTTAATTGCCATAATACTCCTTGGCATCTTCTATGCCATTTTGGTTCTCAGAAGTTGTGTACCATCCAACAATATCTGCACGGAAAGTAGAATTTGCATATAGTTAAGTGAAAGTGATATGCAGAACATAAAAGTTCAACAGAGAAGAGTCTTTTTTAAGTTAGTATTGCTGCTATTTATATCAGTTTGCTTTGCAGGATTTATTATGACCAAAGAATTTACTCATTTTATTCATTTGTCTCTGGTGCGTCAGGCATAGGAATTTGAATTTGAGAAAAGGGTTTTGGATTTCAAATTTAGTATAAATTGTGTGATAAAAAACATGTGAATTTAATGATAAATTCCAAATTTGTGAATTTTAAATTCTATTTTCTCATACCCAGTAAAATCTGTAGGTATACTGAATCTTAACTAATTTCTACATAGTGCGAATTTCGTCCTCAGAATTTATCTAACAATCCAAGTCCTCTCTCCCAAACATAGTGAAAAAGAAAATACAATATTTTCCAACTATCACACCTTTCAGCCTGATAATTTGCTTTGTGAGGAATTGATTGATTGGGATATTTACATTCTAGAATGCAAACTGATTCATTCCTCTAATTCGAATAATGACTGAGCTATTAAAGATATTCTTGATGTTATGAATGTCATGTAACTTTCATAAATAGAAATAATCTATTCAATTCTATGCCATAAGGCATCTCTGTCCTTTGCATACCTCACTTTGTTGCAAATAGTGTTTAATTGTTTTGATTCCATTATACAGAAATTCTTTGCAGAGATTATGAAGAACCTATCATGTTACACGCATACAAGAATATGTATTGTTTGTGATGCACCATTGATTACATACAAGAATATATAGCTTGTGAAGTCATGATGCAGAGTATGTGAATAAATTTTCATCACCTGCTTTATTTCGAAATCTGCTTTCAGGTGGTTGAAAATTATAAAGATTTTGCATTCTCAGACTACGCAAGAGTTGGGAGGGCATTGGCCTTATATGAGGTTGGAGACAGAGAAGAAGCTATTGCAGAGATGGAGGATGTTTCAATATCTTTAAAGGGATATCCAGGTACTATGAATGAGTTTGAATTCACTGGATATTGAATTAGGAAGCCTTTTTTTTTTTTATTCCATTTTTTCTCATTTTATATGTTTGGGTTTTTCTACAGAAATACACGCAGCTCTTGCTGCGGCCTTATATGTGGACAAACATGCACCACTGCTAGCTGAAAATCAATTCGCAATTGCAACTCTACTTGACCCTCACTTTACAGATCTCTCTTACGTGATAGAAACAAAACATTGGCCTCCAAGTTTGGTTAGTTCCTTGCGACATTTTATCACACTTTCCTAAAGATTTGTGCTGAATATTACAGCATATTACATTTGGCAAATTGTTATCAAGAACAGCATTTTCTGGTTGAATTTATACTATGATAGATTTTAAATATTTCATTATCTTATGATTTGGGTGAAGATGATATATGTATATACACATTCAGCTTATACTTTCCGCGTCCATGCTCTGTCCACCTTCATTTTGGCTAAGTTTTTCTTCTGCTGAGAGTGTGGGAAGAAACATGTAAAATATTGTCACCATGTTTGTCAGGTGAAGACTGGAAACATATAGATTCCATAATTTTCTTCATCCTGTAGCTTCTAAATTGCCTTTTTAACCTAAATACAATGATAGAAGATTTTTGTAACCCAAGCATCTGGTTCTACAAGCTACAGATGGCAATCAAGGATGAGGGCGATGCCAGCTCCAGCTCCCCGTTTTTCCTTCAAGGCTTTGCGATTAGATATGAAATTTATAAGAATTGCATTCTTTGTTGTCCTGATTATGCTAAATATAAATAAAAATTTCCTCACATTTCTTTTTCCTTTATGATCCTTTGTCCTTTTGATTATTCATAGCTCATATGCTCCTTAAACACTTTATTGTTTCCCATTTGAATCATTGAAGGTAAGAACCTAAATTACTAGTGAATTTTGATGCAACTTTTGATTGATGCCAAGCAAAATGAATTGCTTGATTCCATTATAATAGAAATAATGACTAAATTAATTCCTATAATCACCTAATCAATATCTAAATCAATATCAAATCAATTTAAGAATATTATTGAATATTACTAAAATAATATCATCAATCTAGAATATTACCATAATATTATTAGAGTATCATTGACACTTCTTACAAACTCAAAATGGTAATGTAGAGGTCAACTTGAGTTTGAAACCTTGGACAAGAAATTGATTAGGTGGAAGTGATTTGGTGAAGATATCTACTTTTTATCAGCACTAGTAACAAGAACAAGTCGAAGAGTTTAAGCAAACAAATAGTAACGAATGAAGTGACAATCAATTTCAATATGTTTACTAGCTCACGAAAAGCATCATTGTGAGCTATTTGAATGACACTTTGATTATCACAAAATATAGGAGTACTAGAGTGATGAGAAACACTCATATCCTGAAGTAGATATCGTAACCATAAAAGTTTTGATGTGGCATCTGCAAAAGCTTGGTACTCAACTTCAGTGCTAGAGCGGAACATCACAATTTGTTTTTTACTTTGCCAAGAAATAAAAGAAGAACTAAGAAAGAAACGGTAGCCTATGGTAGAATAATGATAAGTAAAATCTCTTGCCCAATCAACATCGCAATAACAATGCAAGTCCAAAGAGTAACTAGAGAAAAAATGTAAACCATGGAACAGGGTACCTTGACATGTCGTAGGATCTGGAGGACAGTAGCAAAATGAGTAGATCGAGGAGTAGACAAAAATTGACTAACCAGATGAATAGCATAGGCAATATCTGGATGACCAACTGTCAAGTATATGAGACTATCCAGCAGAGTTCGATATAAAGAATGGTCTATAAGTGATGTACCATCAGAAGGAGAAAGCTGCAAATTTTGTTCAAGTGGTGATGATGCAATCTTGCTATCAGTTGAACCTGCTCGAGCAATAAAATCAGAAGCATACTTTGTTTGAGATAAATGTAAGCTAGTAGAATCATTAATGACTTCGAAAAATCTATTTTCTTGAAAATGAAATAAAAGATTATTTTGAAGAACAAGGAATATCTAAGGTCCAAAAAATAACTCAAAGGACCAAGATCTTTTATCTCAAACTTAGAATGAAAAAAGATTTCAGATCTTGAATACCATTTGCATCATCACTTATAATGATTATGTTATCCACATAAAGCAAGAGAAGAGTAGTATGATAGCATGTTAAGCATCTAACTTGAAATCAATTAGCTATAAGTAGAAGGGCTTAATTTTCAACTTGAATATAAGATTACAAGATATTGAAAATTTATTAGATATTAGATAATACCACACTAATAGACTCTCATCACATATAGGCGAAGATAAAAAATCCTTTTACATGACATATTAGGAAAGAAAATCTTAACTCTGATATCATTTTAAGTAATCAACTTAAAATCAATTAACAATAAGTAAAAGTATACAACTTAAATATAAAATTATAAAAAATTAAATATATATTAAATGTACCATAACTTCCTATAACACATTACAATGGCGTTAAGAAAGTTTGATTAGAAGTCCTTGCGAACCCTATCAACATCAAGAATCTTATTAATGGCTTTCTTAAAACGACAGAATCAGGAAATCGGGTTAATTGCTGCTCTTTTAAATATGATTATCATGAAATTGCATTGCCCCCACTCCTTGTACTTTTCTTTAAACAAATTTCTCTCCTTTTCTTGTGTGAAACATTTTCTAGAAAGTAGGGTATCTTTGGTTCTTCAGCATAGTAAGCAGTGGTGCTGTTATCAATGCTTGATATTGCAGGCACCCAACTTTTGACCCTTGTCTAAAAGTAGATTTATTCAGTCATATAGCACAGGCTGGGTGGAGTGCAAATTTGTTAATCTTTCAACTTGTATTTGGGCAAAAAGGAAAGTTTTTAATCTCTTTCATTTCCCAGCCGAAAAGGTGGACTAATATTGGATTGACTATGGTGAAGTGTTTGATTACATTTACACCTTTATTGTTAAAGATAAACACGCCCACTGATTTTTGACTCTTGAGGCCCTTTATACGTTTTTTCTAGACATGGTAATTCATGTGCTCGTGCAGAATAAAACATTAATAATTTATATATTTATTATATATAAAATTATATGTTATACTTTGTATTTTATATGTAAAATATGATATGTATTTTTTAATTTTTATTAAATTTATATATAATTTTTATATTTTTATATCATATTATTATATTATATTTTAAATCGACATGAATATTTTTTTTTTCTAAAAGGTGCACTTCTCCTTTTATTAACTTGGTTTCTTTTCGGAGAGCCAGACCCATAAAATGTGCATCCGAACTGTATTCACTCAAAATAAAAACAATGTGTAGGCAAATCAACCAGCCTGGTATGCATTTACATCTGTTTCAATGAAAGTTGAGAGAAAAAGAGCGAACATACCTAAACCTAAATGTCCCATCAACTTCCATATCAGAAACTGCGTCAATTAGAATGAGCTGCTGTTGCCTCTGTAGATTATTCAAAAAACATGATGGCAATGACATATGCAAGTGGAAACTTCCTTATGTCAAGATTCTTGGTGGGTGAAGGGGAACCGTGCCTTGTCCTTGATCAAGACTTTCCTTGGTAAAATAGAAAAAGGTTATAGTAGAATTCCTTTTTTTTTTTTTTTTTCTTTTGAACATATAAAAAAACTTTTAATGAAGAAATGAGATATCAACTTTGAATCTTAAATCTTAATCTTTTTAAGAAAGGGTAACAGTATTCTAGTAGCACAATACAAAATGCATATAATATGAAACTAAATGCATTTGATGTTGTGTTAATCGGAATTAAGTTGCTGCTTGTGTTATATGATCCTATATATCTTCTTCTTATTCATGCAAGTATTTAAAACTTAACTCACATTAAAAATATAAGTTGAGAACAATTACTATAGCAATTAAAAATATACCAATGTAAAAAGCTCATATCTAAAGCTTACTACAATTTTACAACATATAGCTATATGTTTCAAGCAAAGGCTTATTAGTTGTTATTTGAATAATAACAACTTCTCGAATGCAATGAATTTGAGATCTGAAAGTTCAGTGAAAGAGTTTAATTACATGACAAAGCAAGCTACAAATTACTTGTTGAGCTGAAAGTTATTTGGAAAAAACAAATTACTTGAATCAATATTTATGAAAAAGAGCATCCTAAAAGCTATAAAAGTAATAGAGCAGTTTTAAAAAATTTTCATAAACACTAGTGATGTGTGTAAATGATAATAAAAATTTATAAATAATTGATGTCTAAATTTAAATTTTAAATGATAATGCTTAATAAAGTTTGAAGAACAAAAAAAAAAAAAATTCATTTGCATTAATCATTCTATGCAATCATATAATCTAAAAAAATATATCAATAAGCTAAACAAATGTTGATGTAAAACTCTAATCTATATTATGACTTGTGATATTTATACTCGATTTCTTCATTAATTGCAAGGCTTCATTGAAATTATTAAGTCTGTCACTCACATTCCTTCCTAAAGTAATCACCACCTTTTGGTCTGTAGAATGAACTTCCACCGAGTGATCTGGGGTTGAATACAGCAACGCACGAAAAGATGTTGCAATAAATGTTATGAAAATGATTATAAAAAAGCTATAAACTGATTAGTTTCAATTGAATTAAAAGACTCTAGTAACATGTACTGATTTTCATGTTTTATTTCTTACAATTACTATTAGAAGAATAGATGGAATGGAATCATAAAAGCTAGTTTTCCATTTAAATCAATAACCAATTCAACACCAACACAGACATCTTAAACACAAAACATTTACTTGCTGAAACTAACCGTCACAACTATATCTAGAAAAACCTAAACTTTCTCTAATCTAAAGCATTAGATTACAAACAATATGAAGAAATTTACAGTGAATCAATGCAATTGACACAATCAAGAGTTGGATATGGCCATTGGTGTATGATTAGAAAATAAATCATTCACATTAAAACCAATAAACAATAGATATTCATCTCCATAATACTTTTGGGCACCAATAATCCCACGTTTGGAGGGGCAAAAGTTGCTTGAAAAGATTCATATGTCAAGCGGTTTCTTCAACTCCTCATTCTCAAGCAAAATTTTTATATTTATTTGTCATTGACTTGAGTTTTGCTCAATCGCCAACATCACACTGCAATTACAGATTCATATATCGTTAACTTGAGCTTTACACCAACTATTCTTTCTTTTCAAAGTAATAGCTTACACCAATTATTTTTTCTTTTCAAACAAAAAGTAATAGTTTCCACCAACTCCTTTTTCTTTTCAATGGAGTAATAACATCCACCAACTATTTTTTTTCTATTCAAAAAATATATCTTTTCAAACAAATTTTCAATAGGAATAAAACTTAAAAAAATTAACGTATGAATAATTTCAAAAAATAAATTACTTATTTTCTTCTTTCAATAGTTAGATTTCCATAGAAATTTTAAAAATAATAATCTAATCTAATCTAGCTATATACTATTTTTATTTGAACAATTTTGATATTGTG